CGTCTGTCCTTTTGGGCTAAAAGGCTCTGGATCAGCATTTATGCAAATGATTAATGAGGTGTTGCACCCATTGCTGTATCGCGGGGTGTATTGTTTTGTAGATGACGTAATTATTTTTAGCCGTGATAAGCGATCTCATGTCCGGTTGGTGAGGGAGGTACTCCAGAAGTTGAGGGAAGCAAAGCTGTTTGCTAAGTTACCGAAATGCGAATTCAATAAGGAACAAATAGATTTCTTGGGATACCGAATCTCCAAGGGTGGGATAGCAATGGATCCCTCAAAGGTAGAGGATGTCAAGGGGTGGGGACCCCCCCAAACACGCAAGCAATTGCAATCGTTCCTGGGATTTGCCAATTTTTATCGGGGGTTCATAGAGGACTTTGCCCAGGTGACTCTGCCCCTAACTGAACTGCTGAAAACAAAGGGAAAGGGGGAGACAGTAAAGGTACGGTCCCCGGGGGCAAAATTAAATTGGTCAACGGAGTGCCAAAGGGCGTTTGAAGAACTGAAACGCAGATTCACTGAGGAACCGATCCTAATCCACCCCGATTTAACCAAGCCGTTCGTGATCCACTGTGACGCATCGGATTGGGCTTACGGGGCAGCATTGATGCAAAGGGATCCGGAAGGGAGGTTGAAACCCTGCGGGTTCATCTCAAAAAAGTTCAGCGAAACTGAACGGAACTGGCCAGTATGGGAAAAGGAGGCTCTATCAATCTTAAGGGCTCTGGAAACATGGAGACATTTATTAGAGGGAAGCGGCATACCTTTTGAGGTGTGGACCGACCATAAAAACTTGCAATACCTCACTTCACCCAGGCAGTTGTCAGCAAAGCAAATAAGATGGGGGCAGTATTTCAGCCGATTTGATTTTGAGCTGCGGTTTCATAAGGGGAAACAAAACGTGGTCGCGGACACGTTGTCAAGAATGCCGGAGAATGGAGGGAGGGGGCAAGGCCCAAAGGGGAGCATATTCTCAGAGCGACAGTGGGGCATGGCAGTACAAACCCGAGCACAAACGGAGCGCAGTCAAAGGCTAGTGGGGGTTGAGAGCAAAGACGGGGGATGGGAGGAGGAGATAAGGCAAGCATGCAAGGAGGATGAGTGGTTGGAAAGAAATAAGGAAAAGGTGGAATGGAAGGATGGATTGGGGTTTGTGAACAAGAAGTTGTACATCCCAATCAACTTACGAGGAAAAATGATGGTCAGGTGCCATGGCAGCAAGGGGGCAGGACACTGGGGGGTCACGAAAACCCTGAAGTCACTGGCACGCCAATGTTGGTGGCCCGGGATGAGGGGTGACACAAAATTGTATGTATCCCAATGTAACGCGTGTGCACAAAGTAAGGCAACCACTCAAAAACCAACGGGATTGTTGCAGAGGGTGGCAGAACCATCGAAACCTTGGAGGGTAATTGCCATGGATTTTGTGGGCGAACTCCCCAATAGCCGAGGTCAGCGCTACATTTGGACAGTGATGGACCTGTTCTCGAAGCAGGCACATTTCATAGCGCTGCCGAAGTTACCATCCGCAGAAAGGTTAGCGGAGCTATTTATCAAACATGTCTATCGATTGCATGGCTGTCCCGACCAGGTGATCAGTGATCGAGGGGTGCAATTTGCGGCCCGGTTCTGGGAGAGGTTCATGCATTTAATGGGGGTGGAAAGGACCCTGAGTTCAGCGTTCCATCCCATGACCAATGGAGGGGTCGAGCGCGCACAACAGACATTGGGGTTATTCCTAAGGACATACACAAATCATTGCCAAAACAATTGGGCAGATTTACTCCCATTTGCAGAAATCGCATACAATGGAGCATGTCACGCGTCCACAGGTAAATCTCCCTTTGAAATAGTGTACGGAATGGAAGTGACCCCATTGCCAAAATTGCCGAGTTGGGAGGAGGAACCCTGGGGAAAGGAAGGGTGGCCAGACAAGGTGAAGGCGAGCTGGGAGGAAGTGGCAAAATCACTTAGAGAAGCCCAACGAAAATATAAATTGTTTGCGGATAGGAAAAGGAGGGAGGGAGACAAGTTGGAAGAAGGGGAATTGGTGTGGTTGAGCACCAAAAATCTTAAGTTGAGTGGACCCTCCAGGAAACTGTCTCCTAAATACATTGGGCCCTTTAGAATTTCCAACAAAGTAAATGATGTAACATACACGTTGAAGTTACCAAAGGTTTTGGGAAAGATACACCCAACGTTCCATTGCAGCTTGTTAAAAAAATACCAAGGGCCACTAGATAAAGAAGGAACATGATAGTGACGTGTATCCCCCTTCCTGGAAGAGGAGGAGGAGGAGGGGGACGTCATGTCAGGACTCGGTTTCTTGGCCTCGGACATTGGCGCAAAAAACCCGCGTCCTGACTCGGAGAGCTGATAAGAATGTGCAGCTGGTGGCCTTGGGGGAAAGCAGTTGATAAATGGCGGGGAACATTGCGCGGGATCCTCGGCTGGCGGGAAAGGGAGATTCAATTGTGAGGGAGGGTATAAAAGGGATTGACCTGCGGCTGTATGCCAATCCTGGCTTTCGTTTTGTATGCATTTCCAGTAGTAAAGGTTTCCTGATTGATTACGGATTGGCGTCCTGTGTCTTTTCTGGAAGCGGCTGCTGTGAGCTTACAGTCCTCTTCTGGGCCTAAATTGGAAATGCACCCACAGCACCTATTGGACATCTTGAAACATTCCAGGGAAATATTTTTGATTTGAAACATTTTGTACAAAATGTTTTTTACCCGAGGGAGGTAGAGGTCCTCCAAACATGGTGGAAATGCCCTCCATGCCCCCCTTGAGTGCATTTGGAAGGATTCTAGAGTGATTTTTTTTTTTTGTTCTCTGGTGGGACTTGGGGACATACATTGTTTTTGGGGGTTTGCATCTTGCCCCTTCCCCCCAGTTATGAAGGATGTCCTGGTGAAACCCTGTACTTCAAAATTTACCATTACACAACTGGTCATGTGGACTTTAGAGAAGAGGAACTCCCCCCAAATTACTTTGACTGGAAGTCCACATTGGAATAAAGACCCTTTCATCAGTTGTGTTTGTGTGAAGACATTTCATTTAGAAATATATTATGTAGATAAAAATGGAGGACTGTCTACCCAGTGTTGCCTGGGTGTCAAGTGGGCCGCTGCCCCCCACCACTTTCTCCTTTCTTCAGCTTTGAGAAGGCCTGTCTCATAATGTCTCCATTGAACACTCTGGCATCTCTCTTTGGGCAGTGTCTCTTTGTGGTTCAGTCCTTCCTTCGTACGTTCATTTCTTTCCTTCCTTCCTTGCCTTCCCCCCATCTTTCCTTCTTTCTTTTCTCTTCCCTCCCTCCCTGCTTTTCTTTCTCCCCTTCCTTCTCCTTTCCTTTCCTCATTTCTTTTTCTCTTTTTCCTTCTCTTTCTTTCCTTCCATCTCCCCTCCCCTTCATACATACGTTACCCAGAAGCAGCCAAACCACTTTACTCCCTTTCTTTCCCAATGACATCACAGATGGCCACTTCACCTAGCCACGGGCAATCCACTTCATCCCCCCTCCCCACTTCTACAGCTCTGGACCTGAAAAGAATGGTCCTTTTAGTTCAAATCCCTCAATTATTTAACGTTGGATAATGAAGGGTGCCAAGTTTGGTCCAAATCCATCAAGCCATGTAGGAGCCTTTGTGGTACAAATGGACAAACCAACCAACATACATACATATTCTGACTTTTATATATAGAGAAGATTATGAAAGGGGTTTTATGTTGTCACCTGCTGGATTGTTGTGAAGTCTTAAATTTAGGGGAGAGGGTGTGAAATCGTTCTTGGTGTGCGATTGCTGCTTTTATAGTAGTGCATTTATCGTTAATATACAGTATCAGACAGCTGTCTTCGTGGCAGTAATGCGAGCAGGCTGCCTACTAACAGGTAATTTGCAGTTACTGAAACCAGATATGATATGTAAGTAATAGTGCCTGTAACTCATAAATGTCTTGTGTCTGTATTCTTCTACACATATAAGGCTGTTCAGTCAGTACTTTAATATTATTTTCAGTTTGGTGATTCATGGCAACCAAATTAATGACTGATATAATCATATTATGGTAGTGCTTTGGTAGCACTACCATAATATGATTATATCAGTCATTAATTTGGTTGCCATGAATCACCAAACTGAAAATAATATTAAAGTGCTGGCTGCAATGTACTTTCTTGGCCCAGTTCAAAAGTCTTCTTGTAACTTTTAAAATCCTAAATGACTTGGGTCAGGTTGTGTTGACAGTTGTCTCCTTCCACATTTAACTACCTACCTGGACCCTGGACTTAGTGCCCAAAATACTCCTCCAGATACCAAATGAGACAGGGTAGGAGACTAAAAATGAATAAGACCTTTTCATTGGTGGTAATAGCTATTCTGTGAAACATACTTCACAGAGAAATTTGCTTGGGTTTCAGATCTTAGTGGTTTCAGAGAAGCTGTTGTTTATTGGTGTTTAGCGTTAGACCTGATTTCTGAATGTGAATGTAAAGGTAAAGGTTTTCCCCTGACATTAAGTCCAGTCATGTCCGACTCTAGGGGTTGGTGCTCATCTCTATTTCTAAGCCGAAGAGCCAGCGTTGTCCGTAGACACCTCTAAGGTCATGTGGCCAGCATGACTGCATGGAGTGCCTTTACCATCCCACTAGAGCAGTACCATTTGATCTCACATTTTGCAGGTTTTCGAACTGCTAGGTTGGCAGAAGCTGGGGCTAACAGTGGGAGCTCATGGCGCTCCCCGGATTTGAACCTGAGACCTTTTGGTAAACAAGTTCTGCAGCTCAGCGGTTTAACCCACTATGCCACTGGGGGTCCTTCCAAATGTAGCATATTGCATTTAGAGGAAAAAAAAGGAAACTCTTCCTCAATTTTGAAGACAAAAAATTCTTTGATGTCCTAATTTTTTTCCTTTTACCTTTGAATGATGGGAAGGGGGGAGTATCTTCAGAGTGGTTTCTATTCCCTTGCCATAACACTTGTATTTTCAATTTCCAGATACATGTATTGGACAGACTGGGGTGAGACACCTAGAATAGAGCGGGCTGGAATGGACAGTAGCATTCGGAAAATAATTGTGGATGCTGACATTTATTGGCCTAATGGACTCACCATCGATTTGGAAGAACAAAAGCTTTATTGGGCAGATGCAAAGCTGAGTTTCATTCACAGAGCAAATCTGGATGGCTCTTTCAGGTATGTTTGTATGTCAAATAAATGCTAAATTGCTGAAGTGCTAGATTTCATTTTTATTTATTTTTTTGTACTCACAAACTCTCTCACAGCCATATTGATTGCCTTTGTTCAGGCAGGGTTTTGGCACATGGTCTCTGGCTGAAAAGATTTTGGCCCTGCCTTTTATTATTGTTGAGCTTATGTTCCTTATTTGTTTTCATGTGATGTTTCAATTAAGGTTTTTTTATGTTTGTTTTATCAGAAATGGCTACCTTGAGTGTATCTTTTGCCAGCATGATTGAGTTTTAAATTCATAAATAAAACAATAGATCTTGCTCAATATATATTAATGAACTAATCTGTATTGGTGTCTGAAATGGAATATTAACACAGCTTCAGTTAGATGATCCTGTAATATAACATCGTGGTTTCTTTCTTTGTCATTCATCCTTGTGCCCTGCTATTTCCTACCACTCATATCTCAAGCGACTCTCCCCACTGCATTTCCTCCCTTTCTCTTGCTAAAAGCTCTTACATTTCACCTAATTATCCTTGATCCTTTTGTGCCTTTTTAAAACAGCACCAATTTTGTGCTATTTCCAAATATTACATTCATTGTGGAAATCAGACGGTGTTCCAGAAGACTTCGTTCTGAACAAACTTTCAGAAAGAATTGCATTACGAAAAAAAGTGTTGATCTCTTTAAAAATCTGTTTTGGCTCTTTTGTCAATTAAATTAAATTAATTGAGTAGGGACATAGGTTTTTAAAAGAGAAATAAGGAACATCTTTGAAATGTGTTATGAGAAATCATCTTCTTAATTTTTCCTGTTTGTTTTTGGAAAGCACTTCCATGCTTCATGTACTTTCAACTATTTCCTAAATTCTATCAAACTCATGAACTCTGAGCCAAACTTTTTTTTTTTTTTCGTGTCAGGAGCTACTTGAAAAATTGCAAGTCACTAGTGATGTTAGAGAATAGGCCATCTGCAAGTATGTTGCCCGAGGGACGCCGGGATGTTTGATGTTTTACCATCCTGTGGGAGGCTTCTCTCATGTCCCCACATGGAAAGCTAGAGCTGAGACTGGAGCTCACCCCGTTCCCCGGATTCAGCTCGCAACCTGTCGGTCAGCAATCCTGCCGGCAAAAGGGTTTAACCCATTGCACCACCAAAAAAAAAATACTCTGTGTCATTTACGTGACACAAAATCATCTCACTCCCAACGCAGGGCACTTCCAGTTAACACAATTCTGCCCTTTGTTCAGTCAAGTTAGGGAATGCTTTGAAACTTTCCTGAAGCTTCAGAGCAACCTCACTCTTTTGAGTAGTGCTAACCAGCCCCACACTTCACGTGGGCCAGTGCCACCAGCCCATGCTTCACCTGTTCTATGGTAGGGGGAAAACAGTATAGCATTTACCTGTGTCATTTTTTCATCACTGTGAAGGCAACCACAGAGCTCCAAAGGGCTCCTGACTGTTACTCGGCACCTTTGCTAATGTTTGCAAAGGTGTCTGTGAAATTTGGAGAGGGAAAAGGAATGGCACTCCTCTTTCCTCCTTTCCCTAGTCACGTGATCACTGTGGAGCTTCATGGCTGCCACTACAGCAAAGGAAAAAATGACATGCATAGTTACGGGTGGCAGTCCAGCAAGGCTAAACCAGTTTTGGACCCACTGGACAGCTTGGACTCCATCCTGCCACCCACACAACATAGCTCCATGGGGCCATTCCCAACCAATCCCACAATCTGTGGCCCGTGTAGATGTGCCCTTTATAAGGTAGTGTATGTTCCGCTCTAACCCCACACTTTATATTGAGGCTAAAGGGACTGTTTTGTCCTTGAACTTGGCCACTTTGGGAAATTACCCAAATTTTGATGCAAAAAAGCCATATGTAGTGACCACTCTGCAATGAATCTGGCCAGAAAAGTGACACCTCTCTTTTGGGAACTCTGGCACTCAGATTTGCTGCATGGACAGTGCCAAATGGGAACACTGTAGCAAAGAGTTTCCCCAAGCTCAGTTTGCAAGCCCTGAGCAGGGTATTGATGACAGGGTGACTTGCCGGTCTCTCATTCATAGGGTTGCCATAAATCAGAGTCTTCTTGACGGCAGTTAACAACAACAAAGTCCCCATGGAGAATTGCTGCCTTGCTTGTGAGGGTCTTTGCATGTTGAAAATGTGGCCAGACATTTGCAGACTGGGAGGAGTGTAGTGGCTGCTTTAGTGTCTGCTTCTGTTTACTGCTACAGTCACTAGGGAAGCTGCAAATCACGTCTGTCTTGCCCGTCTCCATTACTTCTGGAAACTGCTTCTGACATGCACATTCAGGCAGGGCTCAGAGGCATGGGAGAGAGGGAAGATATCTGTATTGCCCACTCCAGTGCAAACATTGTAGTTGTTGGGGAGTGTCTGGCAATGGGGAAATTGCAGAGCTTAGAAAAGTCGCTAGTTTGGACTGAAACACTCAGTATTTCTTAGGAAATCTATAGTCCAAAATAGCAACGTCGTTTTGTGAAAAAATGAAAGTTGCAGAATTAATGTTGAGAGACCTTTCTCCACTCCCAGAAAGGAGTGCAAGGTATTTGCTGTATGGTATGTAAAAATGTTAGGACCAGAATTCCAGTCAGCTTCTTGTTACTTTCAGTTAGGATAAAATAGTCAGGCTAGTTTATCTTGACTGTCAACTCTGTAAGGAAAGCCCTAGACTTGATCATTCAAAATTGTGCTAGGCATTTCCCTATTTTGTACACAAATTCCAATAGCTAAAATTGTTTCCATTTGGAAAGTGTGTTTAATATCTCATACCAATGATTTAAAGTTATTTTGGAGAAAAAAAATGGAAATTGTAAAGAGACTCTTTTCATGCCTGATTATCCTTTAGTAGTAATGCCGGCATATAATTTAAATATTTTTATATTAAAAATAGAGCTAATCTTGTAAACTGCCTTGAGTGTGTTACTGCCTTGAGTTGCCTTAGGGCTGAGAAAGGTGGTATATAAATATGATAAATAAATAAATAAATAAATAAATAAATAAATAAATAAATACTGCCTACTTTCTTCCCATAGCACGATACTTACCCATACTACAGGGTGAAAGATAGAAAGAAAAGGGGGTTGAATCACTGGGTTGTTGTGAGTTTTCCGGGCTGTATGACCATGTTTCAGAAGCATTCTCTCTTGATATTTTGCCCACATCTATAACAGGCATCCTCAGAGGTTATGAAACTAGGCAAGTGGAGTTTATATATCTATGGAATGTCCAGAGTGGGAGAAAGAACTCTTGTGTGTTGGAGGTAGTTGTGAATGTTGCAACTTGTTTCTTGTCTGGAAAAGAAACAAAGAAGAAAAGATTATTTCCAGACAAGAAACAATCAGGGCCAGTTAATCACATACCAAGAAAGGATTCCCCAGGCAGTAAGCAGTCAGACCTTGAAGCTACAAGGCCATTAAATGCTAATCAAGGTGGCCAGTTGAAACATTCACACCTGCTTTAAACAGACAAGAGTTCTTTCTCCCACGCTGGATATTCCACAGATATATTAACTCCGCTTGCCCAATTTCTATCAGACCTCACAACCTCTGAGGATGCCTGCCATGCATGAGGGTGAAACATCAGGAAAGAATACTTCTGGAACATGGCCATACAGCCCGGAAAACTCACAGCAAACCAGTGATTCTGGCCATGAAAGCCTTCAACAATACAGTGGTTAAATCGGTTTTATAGCATGCAGCCATTCCTATCAGAATAAGTTGCAGTGTCAAAAGTATAAGATTTTTTTAAATTATGGAAGTAGTCAGGGATATAAGGACATAAGGACATAAATAGCACAAACACAATTGTTTTAGGCTCTTGTTTGCTGCACAAGGGAGTTAAACATGCCGATGACCTGTTGTAGACTACTGTCCTTTGCAAATTCTACACATCACCCAAAAATGGCAGTCAATAGCATAAAATTAAATAAATAAAATAAAATTTAGCACATGGAAGTTGAAGATGTAGGAAGAGGCAAATGGTTACATGTTGGAAAATAAAACAGAAAAGAATGAAATGGGAATGATGGTTCTGGATAGACTGGAATTCCACTATTTATAGAAATTAGCATTCTTTTATTAATTTTTTAAATGACCTCATTTCTTGGATTAATGTCTTACCTCACAAAAACTTGCAGTGCAATAATTTTTCAAAACACTTCTCCTGCCTTTTAGGGAAAAAGTCGTGGAAGGTAGTCTCACTCATCCATTTGCTTTGACGCTGGCCGGAGATACCCTTTACTGGACAGACTGGCAAACCCGCTCCATTCATGCCTGTAACAAAAGAACAGGAGAGAAAAGGAGAGAAATACTAAGTTCGCTCTACTCACCGATGGACATCCAGGTTTTGAGCCCTGAAAGGCAACCATATTGTACGTTTTATATATTGATTTGTTCCTTCTCAATTTTTATGTGCGCATGGGATTATGGGCTCTTGGAATAAAGCATATAGATATAACAAAATGACAACAATTTGTTCCTATTATTGCACTAGTTAATATGCATGTCAGGTTAGACTGAAATGTATGCGCCTATGTCAGCTTAAAATACTATGCCCTTGTGTTCTGGACTTGGCAGTCCTTTTTTAAAATGATGCTGTAATGGTTTTGCTGCTCTCATGATCACACAGTACTACAATTTTCACAACCCACATGTTCAGACCGTTGGGGAATAAGTAGAATAATTCCTGCAGTTGAAAGCTCTTCATTTGATTTGTTCACATGTATAGTAATGTTTTCCTTAGTCTACGCTCTTCCTCTTAAAGTGATTGGTGGATCTGGAATTATTTGGTGGAGTTGTGCAGGTGGAAGACCTACAGTGTTTCTATTATTGGCTTGCTTTCCTTGATATCATAGACTTCAGATGTGCTAGAGCAGTACAGGCAGTCCCCAAGTTACAAACATCCAACTTCCAAATGACTCATAGTTAAGAATGGGGCTGAAACAACAGTAAGTGAGAGAAATCTATTCCTCTGAAGGACAATTCATTTCTGAAAAAGTTATAATGGGGAAAAGGTGTCTCCGTTGAAGTTTTAGCCCCGATCTTTGTTTCCACAACAATCCAGTTATCACAGGGACAGAAAGTGAGGTAAAATCTTCTGAGCAGGGACACAGACAGCCAAACAAACACAACAGAGGTGTTAGCTCTTTCCTATGCTATCCAAAGCCCCCCCCCCCCCGCATGTAAGCTGGAGATTCACTTAAAATGTACCTGTTCCAACTTGCATACAAATTCAACTTAAGAACAAGCCTACAGAACCTTGTTCATAACTTGGGGACTACCTGCATAATAATTGGGTAATGGTGGGAATCATATATTCTAAATTCTATAAACCTTTAAATTACCTTTTCTTAAATACAATCATGCAGTATTGTTTGGATACCATGAACTCTTTAAAAAGTATTGGAACAGAACTTTGGGCTCATTTACACTGTAGAATTAATGGAATTTAATACCACCTTGCTATGGTTCAATAATACGGCATCACAGAAGTGGTACTTTTACCAAGTCTTTAACCTTCTCTGTCAGAGAGTGCCAGTGCATTGTCAAACTACACTTCTCAGAATCCAATAAAACTGAGCCATGGCAGTTAAAGTGGGGTCACTCTACATTAATTGTACAGTGTAGATGCACTGTACTCATTTCCAAAACTTTAGCTTAGATTGTCAGTTACTATTGATGAATGTGATTCCAAGTGTAAGCTGAACGAGTCCTACAAAATAGAGACAATGAAGTTCCTTCAATCAGAGGTCTTCATTTAAACAGGCAGCATCAAGAATTGAGGGTGTAGGTACATATTGAATATCTGCAGCCCCTTCAAACTAAAAGTAGCTTTAAATGAATAATTCTATGGGATCATTTTTTCATCCTATTTTGTTTTTTTCTCTTACTATAATTTCTCAAAATAACAACAAAAAGAGTATATTTGCACATTTAATTACTAAGAAATTAATTTCTGCTCTTATTTCATATGTATTTGAATGTCCATCTTTATCAACAGGTGGAAATTTTGTGGAAAAAGCTAGAGCAAAGAATACAGCCTGATCTCATTTGCAGCCTTTGAATTGTTTAAGAAGATGCCTCTTTTGGGTGCTAAATGTTGGAAAGCTAATAATCCAAATTTAAAAATTTGCTTCATTTAGAAGACATTAGAATTTAACCAACCCAAAATATTTGGTCTCTGCATGTGGCAGGTTGTACTTGGAAAGGGGAAGATAGTTGACAGTAAACAGTAAACAAAGGAATTTAGGATCCGCTCTAGCCGAGAAACAGGTGCAATCCTTCAGTCGAAGGCACTGGCTCTGCACTGCTACAGTTTGCCCTTGCGTTCCAGATGGAGTTGTGTGGTGCTCTCTGAATTCCTGGCATTTCTCTCAGCTGAGGGAATGTCCCACCCTTGGGTCACAGTATTTCTGGACAGTAGCGAGGAAAACCTGGTGCACAGGGAAATACTATCTGCTGGAAATAGCTCAGATACCACTGTCTCCCGACTAGGATTGGATTTGGATTCCGTCTCTCCCCAAGATGTTTTTGTATATTGGTGGGCTGATTATGGCCCTTGTATAAGATGACAGCCAAGGAGAGCATAGAATATTAACTTCTAGTTTGCCGGGCATTCCTGAATTAATATCCTTTTCTGTGTCGTTGAATGCAGTTTCTTTTACAAGCCATAATCTGGCCAGACCCTTTCCAGGGACCTTAAACCCAGCCAAAATGCTACTTAAACTGTTCATTCAAGAGTGTGAGAGTTGCTATTTGTGTCCATAGCCACAATAGGGGTGTGCATATAGTACTATTATTATTGTAGTCACTTATAGTCTGCCTTTCTCGCAATATTGAGGTTCAAAGTGGCTAATGATATATTTAAAAACAGTACAAATTAAGACTTTTCAAAAGTTTCAATAAAAATATAAATGTAATAATTTAAGAACAAGCAATCAATAAGGTTAAAAATATTAAACAATAAAAATGTTAAAGTTCTTTAAAATACAACATACACCCCTTAAAAACAGCACTACGGAACATTAAAAATCCACCACTATTAGTTTCCAATAGCCTGACAGCAAAAAATAATATTTGGGCTGGAGACAAGGGTATTCCTCACATCCCTAGCATCTTGCACTAAGTTGTCATTGTATCTTGAGTCACACTAATACAACAATAGCAACAACAACCAATTATTATTTATTACTCGCCTCAATTCATGGCTCAAGGTCTTTTCCATCTAAGACAGGGGTCCTCAAACTAAGGCCTGTGGGCTGAATGCAGCCCTCAAAGGTCATTTACCCGGCCCTCGCTCAGGATCAACCTAAGTCTGAAATGACTTAAGCACACAACAACAACAATCCTATCTCATCAGCCAAAAACAGGCCCACACTTCCCATTGAAATGTCAATAAGTTTATATTTGTTAAAATTGTTCTTCATTTTAATTACTGTATTGTTTTTAAGTTTTTTTTTTGCACTGCAAATAATATATGTGCAGTGTCCATAGGAATTCATTCATGTTTTTTTTCCCCAAATTATAATCCGGCCCTCCAACAGTTTGAGGGACTGATCTGACCCTCTGTTTAAAAAGTTTGAGAGCCCCTGAGAACCTTTTAAAAGAATATGTTGGTCAAAATCTTGAGTGGCGCCACCTCAAATTAGTTTTCCAGAATTTTGACCCATGTTCATGTTATCTTAAATATCCTGTTGCAGTTCAAGCTGCTTGAAAATGTTTGGGTGCTGATTCAGACTTGAAAATCTGCTGTGTGGGGTCTGTAAAACAAAGCTGTCAAGCCAAGCAAGAATTTCCCCCTAAATGTTTTTGTAGCAAGTCTCCACACTACTTTTTAAATATTTCACTTTTATTAAAATATAAGGGATGGGAATCATAGGAATGTTGTTGGGGGGATAAAAACAGTTTGTGCACATGAAGAATGCTGTCAGTCTTGGTATGTTGCATTAATGAACCATCTTGGTATGTCCTGTTCACTCTTTTATTTTAAAAATGCCTTTTGGGAGATACAAGTTATTCTACAAAATATAATAACTAAGAGGATATAACATATAATTATTTAAATTATTTTCAGGGATATGTGGAACAGGTTTTCTGCCTGAATTGGGGTGGTAGTAGTAGTGGTTGTGGTTGGATAAGACTTTTCCATTTTCTACAGATAATTGAGTTTGTTTTGGATTTTATTCTAAAAATTACTTGCTTTTCTGTCTCCTTTGTTTTCTGAAGTTCATACACCCTGTGAAGATAATAATGGTGGCTGCTCCCATTTGTGCCTGTTGTCTCCAAGAGATCCCTTTTACAGCTGTAACTGTCCCACTGGAGTCCAGCTTCAGGAAGATGGCAAGACATGCAAAGCAGGTAAGGAACTTTGATCTGTGATGTCCCTGGACCAGAGAAAGTGTTGCTCAAGAACGCACAGGAATGCCCTATGAGTTGAAAGAGAACATTGTGCAAGTTGAGCATTTGTGTGCACTCTCTACGGCCAGGAGAAATGATCTGTTGGTTTTGCTCTTTCAACCTTTTCTGCCTAATCACTCTCCACCCCACTGCCCCTCAAATTACAGGGTCTTTTGTCTATATGAAATCTGTTGCAGTTAAATTCGCTTGACAGGAGCTCAGGACCCCAAGCCTACATATAAAATGCCTACACATTTCTGGTTCAGAGTTAGCTCAAAAAGCCCAGCCAACTGATGTGAAAGAGAGAAATTGATGTGTTCAGGAACAGCACATTCTGCTTCTATTGCATCAGTTCCCTCTCATATGCAGGGGACGGAAACTGGAGGCAGATGCACAACTTGGGAGTGTAGATTTATGAGCTTGACCTGTGCCTCATTTAACTATTTATGCATTACAAAGATGTGTGCTTCTTTGTCCATTTTGTGACTGTTTACTTTGAATTTTTAGAATGCAAGTATGTAAGAATAATCTTAAAGCCTATGTTAGAGTGCAGTCTTGAATGTAGTGATAGCATTCACAGGTCAGTCAGGACCTTATAAACCTTTTCAGCAAAGATCCGGCTCTTTTAAAAATCATAATGACATCTAATATTGCATGAGAGAGGTATTTGCCAGGAATATTTGCTGAATCTTGTAGTGCACAGTGTCTTACATTTCATGTTTAATGAAGTTCCAGGATTCAGTCAGGTAAAAAGAGAATAGTCCATATATAGATATATCAAACCTGGATTTTAACAAATTTAATCGAGCCTCTCTTTGTGTTTGTAAGTGAGAAGGTGCTAGGAAATGTATACATAAGAGTAGGGAACTTCTCAAAGGCCTGGTTTGCATTGCCATCACATTTTAAAAGGAAGACTAAATTAAATCCAGGAGACTTGCTAATCTGGCTCTCCTGGATCTGGCATGAGACTGTTGTCTACCTGTTTCTTTATGCAACAATCAGTAAAAGGTCTTGTACATAGCAAAAACATTGTAAAAACTGGAAGAAATGCAGATTTGTATTTACTGTATTTGGAAAATTGCATAACACAAAAACATCTTCACTAAAGTTTCATTAGTATACTACAGCATACTAGTAAAGGCAATACATTTTTCTTCAGAGGACTTCTTAAACTGTGAAAAGAAAAAAATGTACTAAGAAACACAAATGTATATAACCAATTAGTATTTGAATGAAGTGACAAGCACTTCTTTGTAGGAACCCCTGTTGCATATCACTGTACTTTCATGATTGCCTTCTTACTGAAATGCTAATGTTTGTATAATTATCCTGGTAATATAGTTATTAACCTCACCCTGGAAAATGCAAACTTGAGGATGGGGGATCAGTTCAGCAACAGAGGCCAGTTAATTGTTATTGCTGAAATTAATGATTCATTTGTTTGTTTGTTTTAATTCAGGTTGTATTTCCAAATAATGGGAAAAAAACTTTAGGAACGGGGATATGCAACCTTGGCTCAACCCATAGAGTTCTCATGTTTATTAGGAATACTAGAAAATACTTTGATTTATCATTTATTAATCACAAAATGTATATATCCTGCCCTCTAGCCAGAGAAATGTAACTTTGTCAAGCTGAGCATTTGGATTGGGTTATATCACATCCAAATGCAGTCACAGAGTTTCAAAGACTGGAAATCCTGCCCTCCATAATAACGGACTCTGTGACTACATTCATTCACCTGTACTCATATTTTCCTTTAAGATTTTTCCAGTAATAAGGCAGCAGCTAGAAGTAGAGGAGCTATAATATGCATCCTCGTTCCTTTCAACAAAGAACTTCTGTGTTGATTAGTTTCTTACACCATCTTCAAAAATAGCTAGTCCCACCAGCTGCTAATACTGAAAACTCAAAGGCAGACTTCAAGGGGGGGGGGGGGGGTGGACTAGATAGCCCATGTGGTCTCTTCCAACTCTATTTTTCTACGATTCTAAGGGGAGCCAAGGAACCCCTGGTGGCACAGTGGTTTAAACCGCTGAGCTGCTAAACGTGTTGACTGAAAGGTCGCAGGTTTGAATCCAGGGAGCGGCGTGAGCTTCTGCTGTCAGCCCCACCTTCTGCCAACTTAGCAGTTTGGAAACATGCAAATAGGTACTTTTTTTATCGTGTCAGGAGCGACTTGGGAAACTGCAAGTTGCTCTGGTATGAGAGAATTGGCCATCTGCAAGGACGTTGTCCAGGAAATGCCCGGATGATTTGATTTTTTTTATCATCCTTGTGGGAGGCGCTTCTCATGTCCCTGCACGAGGAGCTGGAGCTGATAGAGGGAGCTCATCCGCCTCTCCCCGGATTCGAACCTGCGACCTGTTGGTCTTCAGTTCTGCTGGCACAGGGGTTTAACCCACTGCGCCACTGGTAGGGAACTGCTCCAGCGGGAAGATAATGGTGCTCCATGCAGTCATGCTGGCCACATGTCCTTGGAGGTGTCTGTGGACAGTGCCAGCTCTTTGGCTGAGAAATGGAGATGAGCACCAACCCCCAGTGTCGGACATGACTGGACTTAATGTCAGGGGAAAGCCTTTACCTAAGGGAGGCAATTTCAATAATGTCATTTCAAGACTTATTTGTAGTATGTTCTATGACTTAGGATCTCACACTATGAAAAGATAGTTTAGGGAAGTATTACAATTACAAGCCAGTATGTTTCTTTTAGGGTTTTAAGAATGTTGACTGCAGGACTTTGCGTGTTCAGATTCTGTGGAATAGGATTAATAACAACGCAGCCAATGTAGTTGCCTGGGTACTCGCATACTGGGGCCTAGAAACATGGTCATTCTGACTGGGGGATTTTGGTAGTTGTTGTCCAAAAATCATGAGAATGGGGTGGCTACCCACTGCATTTTCCTGCAGCCCCTTCTTCTCCCTCCACTTTTTGCAGAGGCTTTGTGTGGCCTTGTGTGCTTCAAATGGAACTTCTGTCTACTGGAAAGCAGGCCCCACTTTTATTTACTCCTCCTGCTTTAGCTGTGTTATTGACATGCTTTCTAAGGTACTGAACGAAGGTTTTTGTTTCCCCTTGAAAAACACCTTCTTTCACAGCTTTAGAAAACTTAGCTGAATGGTCAGAACAATCCTTTCAAAACATTCATATTGACTTTGTGTTTCTGGCAATGGGAAACAGCCCACTGGGCATCTAGCTCTTTGGCGAAGGGCACAGGAATGAGTGACTGTTTATATGGCGTTAGCACCTTTCTATTGTTGGGCCAGACATTCTTTAAAGGGCTTTCTGTCAAAAGGGGAGAAAGTGGGATGGGAACAGGAAGTCTGGTTTTGCATAAGAATGTAGCTTTTTGGTTCAGTTTTATGGATTATTTCTTTCCCAAGCTCTGGATCTTTTGTGGTTCTCTCTCTTATGCCAACATCCACATGAATTGATTCCTGGTCTTATTAATTAACTCCATGGTGTCTATAGGCAGCATTAAACCATTCACCAAAATGAAAGGATATTTTTGACTTTCTGATTTAAGTTCATAGTTTTACAACCTCCATAGATCGGTTTGTCTAGTTCCTGAGAGTGCTTTTACTCACCTTGATTTAGGATGCAGCTACTTGTAATGCAGGAGATTGGCAATCAGCACTTACTGGATGTGCGTGTCTTTTTAATGAAGAGTAACTGATCAACTGGTTAGACTGGGCCATAAAGAGTGTTAATCCTTTCTTACTGCCTATTTCTCTAATTTAAAATTACAATCCTATGGAAGAAACCATAGCACAGGTTTTTTGTAGTTAACTGCTGTCAGGTCCCATCATAGATATAGTCCCAGTTCTTGTCCTTCATTGCTGTTATGTACATTTTTTTTCCTTTACATCACTTTTTTGAACATAGTGCTATGAGACGTGAGCTAACCAGCTTGATCAGGTGGGTTATAGTTCTCCACACAAAAATCCAACAAATTGAAACTTGCTTCAAGCTTGAAGCGTTTATTGGTCGCCCCTCTGCACAGGAGTAGCGGCTTGCACACACCCAGCACATGGTTTTTTGTTCAGGGAGAGTCTTTCATTGATGAATGCGGAGCAATTAGTTCATGCAACATATGTTTATTTTTCAAACTAGAAGGAATTGTTTTGCAGAAACACATGGAAGCTCATATTTCTTTGAGTTTCATAATCTTACTGAAACCATCTCTTTAGAAAATTGCTACAGTTTTCCTCCTTTAAAGAAGGTCCATATTTATAGCAGCTGCTTAGCTATTCATTGGATTGTAAATGCAGTTTTCCCCTCAAAGAGTCTTGTTAACAACACAGCGTTCTGCAGTGGGACAATGCAAAGTAATTGTTTCAGAGTAAATATAAAACAGTTCTCAAATATTTAATGCCCTTCTTATATATACAATAGTCCATATATCAAAATAGTTCACTTAAGTAAAATAAAACACCCTGCAGTAGCCCCGTTATTTTGCTGTGTAAAACTGTGAAACATCCTTCCCTGAATTGTTTTGAAAGCTGGCAAGAGCATTAACTAGAATGATAATGTTTTCTCACCACCACCACCCCTTCCCCCCCCCCCACACACACACACACCCCAAATACTCTCACGATCTGCTACAACAATGTCCTCTCTTATTTTGTGCAGGAAAAAAAAACATTCCGAATAGTTTAATCTTGTATAGTAACTTAATAGATCTGTATTTATCTCATCTATGTATATATGGCTTTACAAAGAATTCATTTGGATTTAATTGAAAGGATGTATTCTGTATTTAAGGATCTGGCACAATATAGTTTACAGTCAAACTATATTGTTGCTGTTTTCCAAAGATGTATGGTTGACCAGCCAATGTTTTGGAATTTGCAAATCCTCGTATTCTCCCTAAGTCATTCCCAGCAAAATGGTGACTGCAAAAATTTAGAAGGCTTGTGGGGAAGGGAAAAGGGGCTAAAGAATGACCTACAATGGAGCA